TAATCGATTTATAAAATTCTTATGATTTTCGAAGCTTTTAAAATGTGAAGACATGAACTTTTTATCTGACATCAATGGTGTTTTTTACGTTGTTTTTTCTTTATACCAGGATTTCATACTAAAATCAAATTTGCGTAACTCATTGTTATTAACAACAAAATTTTAGAAATAATCATTTTTACTGCTCTGATCGAGTCTTTTAGAGAAGAAAATTTAGAGAAACAAAAGGAAAAAATGCCTTAAAAAATGTAGAGGGTATGGTAATTCTAATGCATATTTGCAAGGTTTTATATAATTTACGATATTTTTTCTTTCTTTCTATAACTGAAGAAATTGGTGAATGTTAAGTGGCAATTTAAATAAATTTAATTATGTTATGTTTAAGAATAATATGTTATATAATGCAGGATTCATTCTTTAAAAAAATCGCTTCATTTAGCCAAATATTTAGGTTAAGTGTTTTCTTTCGATAAAAATGATTTGCCAATCGCATCCTGATATTTCAGTACATTCTGAAACTTACTTTAGCAAATTTACCATAAAATATCGCTCAACATGTTCTTTCATTACGATCAACTACATTTATCACCAAATATCGCTGATTTTTTTTTGTTTTTTTCCCCTTAATTTACGAATTTATTTTGCGATTCTCACTATCACTATATATCTGATACAACTCTAATTTCAGAGTTCGTAAGGTCCTTAAGATACTGAAATGGTGGCAACAAAACTCAAAAGATAGAATGTTCAATTTCATAAACTCCAAAAATCTGGTTTCAAAATTTTATTTAAAAGTTAAAGATAACTAATATTAAAATACAGAATGTTTATACTTTTAAGAGCATAAAATTCTTGTCAAAATAATGATCAAAATCCAAGAGTAAAACGTAATGGATGATAAAAACTTCATAGGCTTCAAGCTTCAAAAAAACATAAAGATGGAAATAGTAATAGTCGACATGTTTCGAGCGTTCAAAAATAAGCGCTGATTCTCAAGGCTCGCCAGGCGTGAATGATTTGTGACGTTAATTTTAAGGTGCTCAAAACATGTCTACTTTTATTGTCATCTTTATATTTTTTAAATCAAGTAAGTTTTTATTTTTTGCTACAGTTTCTTAAGATTATTCATTTAGTAATTAAATTACTTCGTAAATAAATATTAAAATAAATAATTACTTCGTATATTAAATTTATTCACTCGCTATTAAAATAAGTTTTACGCAAGATAATGGCATATACTCTTATACTGAAAAAATAATAATTAATCGCAACTTTCTAAAAAAATCAATAAGTAAAATTTTTAGTGATAGCTTTAAAATTTTTTCTGAAGATTTAAAAAAAAAATCCCGATTAAAATCGAAATTTCAAAAATCGAGTGAGAAAATGGAATGTCCCGTAGCAACAAGAATCAAAGTTAAATAGTTACAAGGACAGTTAGTTATTTCAGACAAGTTAACGTTTCTGTCTAACTCGAAATAGTTTGAAAATTTATTTTTTATTTATCGATTCCAAAATTTATTCTAGATATATTTTAGGGTATACTTTAGGCGTACTTTCATAGAGTTTATTTTTACATCCTTATTTGCTTAAAGTTATTAAATAATTTGCTTATAATAAATTATTTAAGTTATATGGTTTATTACATTTATAGTATAATAGTAAAAGAGGCTTTCAACCCAAATTCTTATCCTGATACCACTATCAACAAATTAGTGGATTAAGCCTAAATAAATAATAATAGTTAAATTGTTTCTCGTATTAGCTTTCAAACAATAACATGTTTCGTTCAAATAGATTTCAATTCTGAAAATAACGAAATTATTGAGAAGGTTCACTATAGTAATATCATTCTTATCCTCTCCTGACGAAATACAGGAAAAATTTGTATTAATAGCTTCTATAAAAATGGATATTAACCCTCTAGCTGCATATTTCATGTATATATTTTAAATAGTTTTAATATCTCCTCTACAATAGCTAGGCTACGTACTGGACATTTCAAGGGCATGAAGATCTCACGCACCCATATAAAATTCTATCCCATGTGCAAGTACTGTCCTCATTTGCAACTAACTCCAGACCATGTTTTTGACTGCCAGGCTATTATCGGCTCCCTCTTTCAACTTGGAGCACCTCCCATCGAAATTCTCCATAGCCATCAGGCTCCAGAACTTGCAAACCTTGTTATCAAGACTTTTGGAGGACTCTAATCTTTGCACTAGCATAGACACGACAACAACAACAACATATTTTAAATCAGATCATAATTGAATTGAAAAAATAGCACGGCTACGTTTTACAAATTTCAATTTTTAAGTATTTGCCTTTTAACAAAATAAAGCATTTCCCTGATAACAAATTATATTATGATATTATGATAACTTCTTGTCAATTGTGTTAAAGTTAAAAAACAATTTTGACAAAAGTAAATTTTTTCAACATTATTTTTGAGAGGAGCAGCTTTCTTAGAGTTAACGGTGTAATGCACAAGTTTGAACGTCTAAATAAAAATTCGGTTCGAATGTGTTCATTTAAAAAACAAAGCAAACACTTGTGGTTTTTTGAGTTGCACTAAATATGCATTTACTTTTCACAAATCAAACAAATAGGAATTAATAAAGTAAATAAATAAATTATTTGCTTATTTATTCTTAGAGAAAAAAAGTGCACTTATTTAATATGATCTGTCAGACGTTTTGCACCGAGTGTTTTAAATATAGAAATTTTTTTTAAATTCTTATCAGCTAACTCGTTATAGTTCCGAAAAAAAAGGAAAAAAAAAACTTGATAATTATTTAAAACGAGCTTTAATTTAAAGAAAAATTTTTAGTACTAATAAAAATTAAACAAAATAGATTAGTATATAATCGTAAAAAAATCTACGTGGTAGTCATAAAAATCTACGTTAACAAAAAATATATCCTGCCACACACATACATCCTTGCCCGTTTTACATTCACACACAATCCATCAGTAGAACCTTATTTTGACCTGAACCAGAGCACGTTGATTTTGCTATCCAATACCCCCAGAGGTATAGATTTGTTGGGGAAACTAGGAGGACTTTATGACCCCGAAAGAGTGAGCGTGCACCAGTCACCATTCTGTACACGGGGAGTCTGAGGCCGGTGGGGATCGAACTCATGACCTCTTCTTGGATATGGGCCCAACGCTCTACCAACCAGGCAATTACCTGCCAGCGCATTTTATAAGAAACCAAAGCAAGAAAACAAACTACGTAGATCAAAGGAACTAAGATGAGCTACAGATACACCTTAACAGCAGTAAGAACAAAAAAAGTGGCGATGCTGCCTGTCACACCGTTGCCAAGGAGATGAAGTTAGAAAATCTAACCTTGAGAAGCTAATTTTATTAAACAACGAGTATAGTAATAACTAAAAAAAAAAACTTGCGAACATTAAATTTCTTTTTTAAAAAATTCAGTTACAATTGCCAGGGCCGTGGCCTTGCACTAACAAATCTTTTGAAATAAAAAGTGAATGTTTGAAGATTTTTTTTGGTTTCCTTATAGTATTTACTTGTTTTAATTTTTAAAATAGGAGATATATATTTCAAAAATAGAATGTATATAGTATAGATGTTAACTTTCATAATTAGTTGGATACACATGTCTAATAGATTTTTATCAAATAAACAATGACGGGTTATAGCAATTCTTTCAACAGCAGATAAATAATGAAGTAACTTAGTCACCACTTTAAATACCAAAATTTCCTGCATTGATTTAATAAGACCGAGACGACCATTGTAAATGCTTTTATACTAATTTTTTAAAAATTATGATATCTTACATAAATATTATTTTTACATATAATATTTATCATAAACTTTCGAATCATTACTTATAACTAGAGCCCGGATTTTGATGACCTAAAAAATCTCAACTAATGCCGTTAAAAAGTGCAAAAAATGCCCTTAATAAGTGCAAAAAATGCCCTTAAAAAGGGCAAAAAATGCCCTTAAAAATGCAAAAATTGCGCAAAAAATGCCTTAAATAAAGTAAAAATATTGAATTAAAAAAATGTTCGCTCTTTAAAATTATTATGAGTTATTTAAAAAATATAAAGCAATGCAATACTTGTTCTACGTTCATTAAAGTTTGAAAAATATGTTTTATATCCTAAAATAACAAAAAAAAAGGAAAATATATTGACACCAAAATATTTTTCTTTTGTAGAGAAACTTTGAGGGATATAACAACTCCCATCTCATAATATTACTAAATGTCAGAATTACATTGGATTATAAATTTTTTTTTGATAATTTGAAATCTAAACGAGCGTCTCTTGTCTGAAAGTAAATTTTCATTCCTGCAGAAGCTTCTTTCAACGTCTCCTGATGTTATAGGTGTGTACTTGTAAAAGACGGTCTCACTTACTGACAATTCTTCTTCAATTTGAAAAGATTTTGCTTCACCTGTTAATATCCTATAGATTTTCTTCATTGTCTGGAAACCAGTGTAATAATGAAAATTGATAAAAAATAATAAAAATTGGAAAAAATTAACCGAAAACTTTGAAAAAGGCATTAAAATGCAAAATACGCCCCAAAATTTAAAGAAAAATGCCCTATAAATCTAAAAAAATGCTCTAAAAGACAAAAAATGTCCAAAAATGCATTAAAATGCAAAATACGCCCCAAAATTTAAAGAAAAATGCCCTATAAATCTAAAAAAATGCTCTAAAAGACAAAAAATGTCCAAAAATGCAAAAAATGCAAAAAAATGCAAATGTCATCAAAATCCGGGCCTTACTTATAACCTTTATCAAGTACCAAAAAAAGAAAGAAACTGAAATAAAAGATTTTCTTCGAAACATTTATTTGAAAAATATTTGTTTTTTATAATTTATTTTTAAAACAGAAAGCTATGTTTGGAGGACGTCCCCTCATTCTATTATTATTGTTAACTTATCTGTGTAATTGCAATTACTTATTAAATTTTCAGTTGTTGTCTCTAAAGTTGTTTTCTTCCTTTGTAGGCATGTTGGAGATTTAGGTAATATAGAATGTGATGATCATGGCAATGCCAACATCGTCTTTAATGATGATATTGCATCTATGAAAGGTCCATATTCAGTTGTTGGAAAATCAATAGTAGTAAGTTCAATATTTTATATAGTCATTTATTATAGTCATATTTTTTATAGTCATTCAGTCATTTAAACAAAACATTTGAATAATTATTGCTGTTATAATTTTAGAGTATGTGCGATAAAAAAATGAATCACTTTGAATATTTCTTTGATTTTATTACCGTATCTTCACGTTCTAAAACTCAATCTTAATGGTTCGAGGGGGTGTCTGTAAATATGCTATTTAGTTTGCGCAAACGATATTTTAAGTTACGAAATCAGACACAAAAACGTACTTTCTTTAAACAAACATACTCTTTCTTTCGACGAATTTGGATTTCTGGCTTCCAATATATAGGGAATAGGGTAGGCACAATCTGGGGAATATGGTCAAAATAGGTAAAATGGGAAAGTGGTCCGATGTTTGGATTCTCAATGTTGATTTTACTTTTGTGCATTTCGCCATACCTCGAAAACCTTTTTAATCGTAGTGAAATTTTTTTAACCACAATTATAAAATTCGTTTCGTTAAAGAAAATTTCAAGCAAAAAATAATAATTCCCTTACAAAGTTCTCGAGTTATAGCGAAATAAACAAAAGCTAAAATTAACATTGAGGAAACCGACTCTTCTGACCAAATTATTGGGACCATATTTCTCAGATTGCGGCTCCCCCCCCCATATGTTGGAAATCTGAAATCCAAATCCGTTCTCAACAACAAAGAATGTATGTATATTCAGAGTACGCTTTTTGTGCCTGAATTCAAGACTTCAAATGTCATCTGCACTAATTAGCATATTTGAAGCCACCCCCTCGAAACATTAAGATTGAGTTCTAGAACATGAAGATCCGATAATTAGATCAGAAAAATAAATTCAAGTTGGTCCGTTTTTAATTTATTTCATTTAATTTTTTATGCACTGTCTAGTACGCCAAGAGAAAAAGAAAGCTGACCACTTTGAATAACTTCTAATCTTATGATTGAATTTTCACGTTCTGGGACTCAATCTTGATGGCTCAAGGGGCGTGATTTCAAATATGTTAATTAATTAGTGCAGACGATTTTTTAAGTTACGAAATCCAGACACAAAAACGCACTTTCTCTGAATAAACATACCTTTTTTCCCATTGATTCGTACTAAACTAAATGCTAAAGGTACTAGAAATGTATACTAAATTTTTCATTAGCCTTATATTTTTACAATTTATCAGAAAACACAACCGTTTCTCAGTTTACTTGTCACTACTGTCTATTTCTATCAATTTTGTTAAATTAGCCTCTGGGAAGGTACATATCGAATAAAAAATAGGAAGGAAGCAATTGTACCACACTTCTCAACTTTCATATGCATAGGAAATATTTGCAAAAGTTTTTATTGAAAATTGAAGTTTTAGCAAAATCGGATTAAAGGTAAAAACAGTTTCAACAGTGTCAATAGTCTGTTCCTTAATCTACATTATATTTTATTTTTATACATTAGTTTATATTTCATAATTAGTAATCTCTCTAAGGGCATGTTTATAAAGAAGTATAATGAGGTTATTAAGCCTTACTAGATATCAGTAAAATACTATTTTTCAGGATTTGTTATAACTGTCTCCTTTAAACATTTAATTATGTAATTATAACTCTCATATGTTTAAAACATTTTTTTTGCCTCTGTTAACATAATAATTAATTACTTCCTCAAATGCACGTAAAGTGAGAATGTTCCACGACAGTAAATATTGTCAAAACTAATTTTATAGTTATTATATCGCTATTATACCACTTCAATAGTCATTGTACCACTTTAAAAAACACTTTATAAATCATGTCTTATTAGTCTTAAGAGAAGTAAATTCAGCTATTTTATTTATATATATCTACTTTTAATTTTTCATTATAATTTATTTATTCAAATGAAAATGAAAATAAATTAAAAAGAAATAATAGTTAAATTTACTTTTTCTTTTCTTTGGCGACGTTAACGCTTGCGTCGGTGAAATGGATATGTATACACTTCACACATTTTCAGAAGAATCACCCTTTACTTCGTTTATTTCAAACTTTTCCGAAGCAAAGATGCATACAATACTAGTTCTTATAATTTTATATATATATAAGTATCTTATAATTTTATAATGTAAAATCGGTGAAAATCCGATCATAGATCAAAAGTTATTCAGTGCTATATTCAGTTAGATACTATTATGAAACTAATAAGTATGATGCTGTAACATTTCTTGAATTTTTTTTTTATCCAGTGTTATGGCATTAAAAATTCCTTATTATTATTTCTAAACCCCTTTCTTTTTGTTTCACAGATCCACGCTAGTCAAGATGATTATGGTTTGGGTGGTGATGATGAAAGCTTGAGAACTGGTAATGCTGGTACCCGCCTTGCCTGCTGCGTGATTGAAAAAATTGAGAAATTACCCATTAGATCTTTTAAGTATATTAAAGTGGCCACACTTCACCAAAACTGAAGAAATGCCTGTTAAGGATTATTCAAACAGAATTTTAAATGATAAACTTCTGAACACTTATAGTATTTATGTTTGTGAAAGTTTTTTGTTGTTAAGCTATTTAGTTTGTAAAACTACTTTGCTTGTTAACACATGCATGAGTGGGTTAGTATATCTAAATATGCTAACCGTCTTGTCAATTACATTTTGTGTTGTCAATAACATCATTTTTATTAGCTTGACATTGTAGCAAGTTTTAAAATTCAAATGTTGATTTTAACAGCATTACTTTTTGAATAAAGTGTGTGAAAACTATACATGCAAGGTTTTCTAATTTTTCTGCGACGTTTCACAATTTAACTATTTATGCACTAATCATATTTTCTATCATACATTGAATACGATTCAATTATACATTGAGCTCCGCAATGTGCGNATATATGACATACTCTTAGAACCCTTGTCAAAATAAAAACTTAATAGTATTTAAATGAGTTAATATAACTAATTAATATTCAAAGGATGATTAATTAATTAGTTATATTAACTCATTTAACTAATTAATTAATACTGTTATCTCAGAAACAGTGACACGCTATCGATATCAGACGATTTAGTAATGGAGTAATGAAGAAAACTGGATAAAAAAACATCAATACCAGTTTCGACTGCCATTTGAAAACTGGCGGTGTTTTCTCTAGCACTTAAACAGGTTTATGTTTTCAATAGCATTTTTTAAGTGGGAATTCGTTAGATTTCCTCGCTTAAATATGAATTTGTAATATTCAATATGGATATTTTTCTGATTTAATTTGTGACAAGAATTGTATAAATATATATTTAAAAAACAACCTCAAGTGATAATTTATGGTTTTATATATCTCTCTAAATCCAACATTTAAAATTTCTGGAGTACGAATGCTGCCATTTTCTTTTATCTCAGTCACTGTTATCTATGTATAGGGGGGGGGTAAAAAGTAAATGAAATGTAACTTTCTTATTATTTTTAAGTGAAAAAGCAACATTTTAATGAACGAAATATCAAAGCAATAAAGAATCAAATTCTTTTAAAAGTAAAAAAAAAATATTTTAAGAAATGGCGGCAGTATGACCTTCAATTTAATAGTGAATAAACTTATGGAATAAAGATATCAACTCTGATACCGTCTCTATCAGTTTTTCCTTATGGGAAACAAACGAAATCATTTTTCTTCATTTCAAAACGTTTTTCATTTTTAAGTCATATCGGATAAAAAGCCGAATATGACAGTCCAGTCATAATAGTTTTTGTACATTTTTTTAAATTAATCAATTCTCACCGGTTTTTTAAATTTAAAAAAAGAAATAGTTTTCAATTGATAAAATTAGGAAGTTATTTTTAGAGCATACTAAATATTTTTTTACATTCGCATTTAATAATATATCAAGCTTTTAAGTATATAATTCGTATAATATATTTTGCAGAATGTCAAAAGTAAAATTTATTTCTCCACTAGTCTCTAACTGGTTAAAACGAACGAAAACTAGTAATAACTTTCTAAAACTGTCAAAATCTTTAAATGACAAATTTTACGAAACCATAATATACTTGTAAATTTTTAATAACATTTATTAAATATTTAAATTAGTTACTTAAGTATAAACATATATACAAATGTATGCTATTTTTTTAAATATTAGAATCAAAATTAATTATATTAATTTTGAAATTTTAGTTTTTAAAAGGAATTTTTTTTTTGTAATATTAATATTTTCTTTTATTGTTTTATCTTAAATGAAAGTTATAATCTTCTCAAGGAATTTTAAATAGACTAATTTAAATCGAAAATATATTATAATTATTGTTTTAGATATCATAGTATTAAAATTGAATTTATTTACTTTGCCGCTATAACATTTAAGTTCTATTTCTTTTATTCAATTATTTATTATTATTATTATTTAAGTTTATTTCAAACTCTTATAACTGCGTAAAAACTAAACTATAACATTAGAATAATTTATAAAAGAATTGTTTAAGAAAGAAAGCGCTTTGATAAAAAATAAATTTTAATGCTATGAAATACGAAAGGATACAACGAAATCTGTGCTTCTAGTAATTATACTTATAGACTTAAACTTTAATATTACCTACCGTGTTCTCTTTATATAAGAGAATGAGGGCATTTTTAATAAGAATATTAAAAAAAAATCTTTTTATTTAGAATGAATTCTCTAAAGCAACTTAACAACAATAGGGCTTCCAACAGATCTTTTCCTTGTATGAAGTGGAGTATAAATATAGTATATATTTATGTAATGGAATATTATTCAAGTCATTTACTTTGTAACATATTTTGCCCATAACAATAGTATACGAAAACTAGTATTTAATACTTGAATACTACCTGTAATCTGCTGTTAAAATTAGAATACTAATAGAATTTTTAAACAATGACGGGAGATTTAACTTTGAACTGTACAAGATTTATAAACAACCTGATATTATTAAATGCATAAAAATAAATAGAATGAATTGGATCGCCCACGTTATTCGAATGAGTAACGACAACACAATAAAAAAAGATACTGCTTTTTAGACCCACTGGAAAAAGAAAGCGGGGAAGGCCGCGGTTGAGATGGGCTTACTCAGTGGAGTCTGATTTTCTCGCAACTAATGAAAAAAATTGGCGATCATAGATAAGTCGTCGTGGCGAAATCTTCAGAGGAAGGCATTGACTCACATTGGGCTGTCTGACCAACTATGATGATGATGATGATGATGAATAGAATTTTTACCAACACATAAATGCAATTTTTTAAGTTTTTGACACAGATGTTTTTCACAAGGATTTTCACGTGATGGTTTCATCCATGGTTTTGTCTTGCCAGGTCTCTGTNTTGCAGCGCGTGGTGGCTGCACCAAATACTGATTTCGGACGCTTAATTTGTTTCTTTTGTTTTGAAAATTTCATCATTTATTTGTATCAGTACAAGTCGTTTCTGCATTAAATTTCATTTGATTCTGATGATTCTTTCATGGTGTTGCATTTTCTACAAACAGCAGTTTATAAAAGAATGAGGGCATTTTTAATAAAAATATTTAAAAAAAATCTTTTTATTTAGAATGCAACTTAGCAACAATAGGGCTTCCAACAGATCTTTTCTTTGTATAAAGTGGAGTATAAATATAGTATATATTTATGTAATGGAATACTATTCAAGTCATTTACTTCGTAACATATTTTACCCATAAAAATTGTATAAGAAAACTAGTATTTAATACCTGAATACTACTTGTATTCTGCTGTTTAAAAATAGAGTACTAATATAATTTTTACCAACATATAAATGCAATTTTTTTAAGCTTTTGACACATGTGTTTTTCACAAAGATTTTCACGAGATGGTTTCATCCATGGTTTTTATTTTGCCGGGTCGCTGTCGCTTCGGTCAGGCATCAAATTTCTTGTGTATGGGCCTCAATGGCCTGGGTCGCCTAATTTACCTCCCTACCCATGGATAGAACCGCCAAAATCTACCACACATCATAAGTTTAATATCTCTTCTTTTAGGAAATTCTATTGAAAATTTAATAAATAAAAATCAAAATATGCTTTTTCTGATATATTCTACGTTTTTGAATTTAGTTTGAACTAAATTTTTAAAAAAAAGTTCAATAAAACTAAGCAAGTGCATGGTTAATATTTTATTTTATATTTTATAACCGTCGTTGAACAGCCGATCCAAATTTCAGTTTACGGTTACCTGTGTTCAACTACGTAGCCTTGTGATTTTGACCTAATCCAGAAGACAAGGCAACTCCTTGATCAAGTAATGGGAGAAATTTTGCCTTCGCGGAGGTCTTTTTAATGAAGCTAACCCGCATTTGCGTTACATGGAGAGGAAACCCAAGAAAACCTCTCTCGGTCATGGTGACGGAAACACGACTCAAACCCATGATCCATCTAACACTGAAGATATTTTACGTCAGCACTGTGGTCGGTGCGAGCTGAGTGCGGAATTCGTGTAGGCCAGCACATCGCTGAGTTTCGAATCCGGTTCATCGAAGGGGAACGCTTTATCTCCTGAGTCACCATGGCTCTATGGTTAATATTGTTAGAATTCAAAATACATTGGCAAGTATTAGCAGCTAAATTTTGAAGATTTCCATTTTACGAGCATAAAATTTGCGATTACAATATCTTACATTTATTTTTATCTAAATTTTGTAGCTTTTTCTGGTAATTTGTCCCATTGTGCGATGCGTTGCCAGTGGCAGACTCGATTTCATATCTTGTTCAACTTCTATTCTAATTGCCTAAAATTGTTCATTTCTATGTAAATTTTTACTATATTTTATTAATATATCAAAATTTTGTTTTTGCAATGACTAAATTATTAAAAATTAGGGATGCAACGATTAGTGATTTGGCCGAATACCGAACATTCGGCAATCGAATAACAAAATTTCCCCCCCAAAAAAATAATCATTAATAAATTTTATTTTTAATAAATAAATAAGTTTAGTCATTATTGAACAATAATCATAACTTAGCTGTATAATTAGTATAGGGTTAAGGGCAAAAACTTTAAAAAACTGTTTAAGATAATTAGAAATATTTAAGATAAATAAAAAACTATTAAAAAAACTATAGTTGTAAAGTTGAAAAAATTAAAATAGAAAAAAAAATATTTTCTTAATTCTTAAAACGAAACTTTGTTGCCAAAAGTAATATTTTCTGAATAATAATTATCCAAAAAACGTCGAAAGAGATAATGACTATCAAAAACGCTTTTAAAAATGCAGCGCTATCATAAAAACGCCGTTAAAAAAAAGATTATATACAAAAGCAAAACGAAAAATAGCAATCCATCTTAATTTTTGAAAGAAAATTTTGAAATTAAGCATCTCAGTTTCCCAATTACAAGAAAAAATAAAGTTTAAAGTCTACTCGAATTCCTCTTAATTGCCGTGTCATAATAAAACCTATAAAAACAAAATATCTATAAAAACAAAAGTTTTTTAAAGAAGAAAAGGCTAGTCAAAAACGAAAATAAAAATTGTTTTTAATTTTTAAATGAAAGATTTAACGATAATAATCACTGTTTAATTTTTTCACATTGGAATATTTTTTGAAAAAATTTGCCATAAAAGAATAACGTTTATTAGATACATTCTTTAAAAAGTGCTGTCATAATAAAATGGCTGATAAAAAGAAAGGGAAAAAAAAAGCTAAAGCGAAACAGAAAAAAAAGTTGTTCTTAGTTCTGAAATATAATTTTAACGTTGAGAACCATATATTTCTATGTTACCGGTTATATATGTCTCACCGTTC